CTCTCTCTCTCTCTCTGGAAAACAGCACAGCTCAACCCACACGGCTTGTGTGCCGCCAAGCTTGGAGCCAAGGACCTGGGACCAAAGGTGAAAGTTGCAAAGAACCTTCCTTTGGACACTCGCCTTCCTCTTCAGCCGGGGTTGGCGCAGAGCAGCCCAGGAGCTGGTGCCCGTGGCTCAGCGAGTGATGTGTGTCTGGTCCCAGGCACCCTCTGTTTTGCTTCCCACCCCCCGCCCAGCGCTCCTCCTCCCACCTTAGTTGCACCCACACAGGTGATCCTGGAGAGTTTACCCGGCTGGAAATGTCCCTAGGAAGAGGGAGAACATAGAGGTGGGCCAGGACACCGGGAGATACCTGCTAGGTGGGTTTGCTTTTTGCTTCTGCAAGAAACTTTCTGTGCGGCAAGAGAGAGCAGGTGCTGTTTGTTCAGAATCGGAAAACTTGACTTTGCATTTGCAAAGTGACTCTAGCGAAGACTTCCACCCCTCCTATAACAGAAAACCCTTGAAATGAGTTCAAAACCCTTCCTCCTGTGGCTCCAGCCTTCAGGGAGGTGGAGGAGTTGCCCGGGACAGGTAAAACCCAGCGGGTCCTGTTGCCTGAAAGGAGAGACGATGACACTCCTCTGCAGGTGTGAGATTCCATTGAGAAGAGAACGCAAAGCCTAGGGCACCCTGCCCGCTGCGCTGAGGACAAGCGCTCTTGGAAATATGGCGAAAGCGTATGTTCTGGGGCGTGGAAGGCTCACAGACCTGAGAAACCCACTCCCTCTGAACCCGAGGTTCTTGCTAGCCGCCCCACCTCTCCCCTGCCCTCCCTGTGGAATTTAAGTTACTTCTAATTTGTTGAGGGTTTGTTGCATGAAAAGTTACAGGACCAGACCGGGGCGATAACCCGGTGGACTCGCGCCCAAAGGCCGAGGGATAAAAATGGGCGGGGTCTGTATAAATACCTAAACTAAGCCCTAAATATGGCAGGGAGATTTCAGGGCTCCCCACCCCTCTCTGCCCCACCCCTTCAGCGGGAGAGCATCCTGAGGATTGTCTGGTGTCCAGGGTTCTTATAACTTTATCGGTGGTGAAACATTCTGAATTTCATGGTGTATTTGTTGGGAAGGGTTACTTCGCAGTGGAGATGTACTTATAACAGAAAACAGCAACAAGAAACGTTTAGAAATAAAACAACAAAATAAGCAAGGCATAATGGCTCATTCTTTTAATCCTGGCACTCAGGAGGCAGAGGCAGGCTGCTCTCTGAGTTCGAGGCCAGCCTGGTCTATAGAGTGAGTTCCAGGACAGCCAGGGCTGCACAGAGAAACCCTGTCTTCAAACAAAACAAAACAAAAAAAACAGGTGCATGGAAAAAGAGCTGATCACTGTCCTTGTGGGTGTGTATTAAGAGTTGGCCTATCTGCCCAGTGTTGGTGGTGCACGCCTTTAATCCCAGTACTCCGGAGGCAGAGGCAGGAGGATCTCTGTGAGTTCGAGGCCAGCCTGGTCTCCAGAGCGAGTGCCAGGATAGGCTCCAAAGCAATACAGAGAAACCCTGTCTCGAAAAACCAAAAAAAAAAAAAAAAAAAAAAGAGTTTATCTGTGGTTTCACCTTTATTTCTCTACCATAAATGTGTATCACTTATGTTATTTCTATATGTGTAACACGAATAAATAAAAGACCCAGAGACTGATATTGGGATTCAAGATGATGGTCACGGAAGCAAAGCAGCGGGTTACTAGCTCTCACCTCTAGCTCAGGCTAGAAGGGCTGATCCATCAAGGAGCTCTTCAAGTCTCAAACTGCTGCCTCTCCTCAGTTAGGCTGGAGAATGAAAAGCCTCTGAGAGCTTGCTTCTGTCTTATATACTTCCCTAATGTTGGAATTAAAGGTGTGATCTATAATTCTCTTTTAGACGGATTCACTCTTGTGTAGATCTGGGTGGCCTTGGACTCAGAGATCAGTCTACCTCTTAATCCTGAGTCCTAGAATTAAAGGTAAGGTATGGACCACCACCTCCTAGCCTCTGGCTGCTAGGATTAAAGGTGTGTGCCAGGCTTCTATGGCTTTGTGGCTGACTTTGCTTTCTGGATCCTCTGGCAAGCTTTAATAAATCATAAACAATATCTCGCCTCAATCTGTGTACATGTGGATGTCCACAGACAGAAGACAAATGATCCATGTGTTGGATGATGAGGAAACAAGAGACATTTTGTTCAAGCCAGGCACAGTAGCACATACAATATCAGCACGTGGGAGATTGAATGAAGCAAGAAGATCATGAGTTCAAGGCCAGCCTCTGGTGTGTAGTGAGACTATGCTTCAAAAACCTACATAGGAACATTTTTTAAAAATCCAGAAACACCCTTTAGAAGCTTGAGTTTAAAGAAAACCTGGGCTGAAATTTATTAAAGTTTATATGACATTTCCCCCACAAAACTTCTGTGTTGGATGTTCAGTTCCCATTTGGTAAATCCGAGTGACTGAGGATAGTAGACAGAAAGAAAGGGGATGCATGAGCCCTCTGACGCCTTCTTCTTCCCAGGCACCTTTGAGGCAGGAATACCAATACATTAGGTTCCAATGAAGCAAATGGCATAACGGGTTCTCAGTCGTACCCTGGGAAGCTGAGAGTCTCAGTTTTTATTTTATTTTATTGATTGATTAATTTTTTTTTGAGACAGAGTTTCTCTGTGTAGCTTTGGAGCCTATCCTGGAACTCGCTCTGTAGACCAAGCTGGCCTCGAACTCACAGAGATCTGCCTGCCTCTGCCTCCTGAGTGCTGGGATTAAAAGCATGCACAACCAAAGCCCGGCGAGTCTCAGTTTTTTATTTTTTTTTAAGATTTTTTTTAAGATTTTTTTTTATTTATTTATTATATATACAACATTCTGCTTCCATGTATATCTGCACACCAGAAGAGGGCACCAGATCTCATTACAGATGGTTGTGAGCCACCATGTGGTTGCTGGGAATTGAACTCAGGACCTGTGGAATAGCAGCCGGTGCTCTTAATCTCTGAGCCATCTCTCCAGCCCAGGTCTCAGTTTTTTAAAGGATGCCAATTTTAAGTGCTGTGACGGCTGAGTCAAAAAAAAAAAAAAAAAAAAGCCAGCACTGGCCTTTCAGTGAGAGGTCAAGAGCCATAGGCTGTATAAGGTTAAAGTTCAACTGATGAGGAAGGAGGGTTCTCAGCTGTTTGCAAAGCTAAAGGGTCAAGGTCCCTGGAACTATAATTAGCTATTCCTTCCCTGCCTGAATCCAACTAAACTGGACCATAATCCCACAACAATAGTCAGTGTTAGTTATTCCTGCGATTTTTTTTTTTTTTTTTTTTTTTTTTTTTTTTTTTTTTTTAAAAAAATAGAGTTTCTCTGTGGCTTTTGGAGGCTGTCCTGGAACTAGCTCTTGTAGACCAGGCTGGTCTCAAACTCACAGAGATCTGCCTACCTCTGCCTCCTGAGTGCTGGGATTAAAGGAGTGCGCCAACAACGCCCGGCCATTCCTGCGATCTTAAACCATACACAGCAACTCTCCATTCTGTGGTTAGACCAGTCCATGTTAAAGGAAATTTTCTCCTTGGCTGTCTTGAGACTCAGGACCCACTACTATCTCATATAACATATTTGTGACGTATGGTTCATCTTTTCACTTGTTCTCTGTCCACACTGCAGCTTTCTCTGTCCATCATTCTATCTCCCCGCTCTGACACTTGGCTGCTAATTCTCAAAACCATTCCTCTCTCCCTGAGTCTCTCTCTGACTCCAACAGTTGTCCTTGAGTTCCCTTCTGTGTCTGTTTTTAGACTTCTTTTATTAGTGAGACCAAGAATGGACAAAGATTCTGTGCCCCAATAACACATCGTTGGGAGATGACAGTATTCTGGGTATACTAGGAACTGAAGTTTCTAGAAGAAGAAGAAAAAAAAAAAAGTGGCACCCCTGTCACAGATTCTACAAGGACAAATGACTGAGCTGCTTGCTCATGGAGAGTTAAAATGTTGCAGAACAGAGCCAGATTATCTTGGACTATTTTAGTCCCTTTGAAAGCCACTCCTGTGTCTGACCTAACTTGTGACTTTCAAAACTTTTAAAATGTCATCTCAGCATGCTACCAGCTTCCACCAAGCCAAAAGCTAAGAATGTTATCAGATAGCATCTGAGGCCTCAGACGGGCAATTTTCCTCTATCTGCTGTACCCGCCCCCACCCTACCACTGTGTTTGGTAAATGCCTGGATTTATGACTTCCTCTTTAAGTAATAAAATCTCTTACAACCATTTCCACGATAGAACATGTCTTTCCAGCACCCTAAGTCTGCATTCCTAGGACATCATCATTCATATTTGGCACAAGTAGGCTGTCTTGTTCTCTTAGTGGTGAGAGTGTGTTTTTTGCATTCACAGGGCTCCGAACTAATCAGTGAGTGATCCCTTGATGGCCTCAAAACTCTGACATGAAGTGTAGTTCAAGGTGTAGTGTACACGTTTGAAGTGTGCACCTAGATACAGTTGACATATGTTCAGCAGTGAGATCATAGCTTGCATGGCACAACAATGTTCCAAGGAGTTTCTTAGACTCCCTGGGTCATGCTATGTATGGCCCCTCTCCATCCTGCTTAGACTCAACCAACTGTAAACCTGTCATTACA